CTGCAAACTTCTGTGCATGCATTACCCGTTTCTGTCACTGTTTCCTACTCATGTCTCTGATGATGAATCCGCGAGGGATGTGAAACTTAAGGCGAATAGACGTATTGTCCCGGCGATCGAGTCTTCTTCTTCTTCTCAATTGCTTCCTGGTACACGCATGTTCGCTTGTATTGGCAATCCTCTTTCGGTTTTAACAGCGACCGTACCCGCGGCTACTGGAATGTGTCGATGCCCGTGCTCGTCAATTACTTACTGCTACACAGTATACTATTTATCCATCTTAGTAAGTATCATTACTAAAATTAGCACTCATAGCATTGGCATATTACTCTAGCAGCAGTATCGTAGTCCTCGCAGTCAAAACATTGGAGAAACTGGCATAGTCCTTGGTGAATAGGGGTAGGAAGACGGAAACCAGGACAAAGCACCGATGAGCTCCGAGCCTCAAACATGCATTTACTCGGAATAGCATAAGCCCAGATTCACACTCCTTGTTGAGATCGGTGGGGGGTATATGAGAAACAGTTATAATACTAATTGCGCTCAGACGAATCGCTAGTAAGTAGTTAAGGAGTAGTGGCAGTACCAATGTCGGTCTCCATGAATCTGTATTGACACCTACTGAAGGTGAGCTAAGGTAGGTAGTGTTGAAATCGAGGGGATATGAACCCTAGCGTTGGCTTTTAATCAGCGTCACCTCTGAGTAAAAAATAGCGACAATTATAGTACTAATATCAGTCAGACCAACCGCTAATACGTAGTTCAGGACTAGTAGCAATATTAGTCTCGGCCTCGGTCTCCTTCGATCTGTCCTCACACCTACTAAAGCTGAGTGAGAGTAGATAATGTGGTAGTACCAGCACAAAAGTCTACTACCACTTAAGACTAAGTTATGCGGTGTTCTGGCTTGCATTGGAGGAAGCGGCCTACGTCTGGTCCCGCTAACTCATCTTGACTCTGTCTTCTCTACGGTTCAAGAGGGTGACATGTTCAGAGTGCGGAAGACGGCTGCGCATCAACGCACTTAAAATTTTCCCCCGCTGCTGTTATCCTCCCTGCTCCTGAGTAAATAGTAGACTTCATTATAATCGATGGTCGAACAATCACTGTCACAACACAGTAACAGTTGACAACTCTAAGCTAGTCGAAAACACAGCCTGGCGAGCATGGCCGTCGTGTGGCTATGATCCTGCCATGATGTCACGATCAGGGCGCGTGCAACTATCAGCTTTCCCCTGCCTCAATAAAACTTGTACTTAAGCTGTGAGGACTTGTCCGTGAGGACAAGGTAATTCCGTGCTACCTGAGTTTATGCATTATCTGTTGAGGACTATTCGTAGTACAACCGAGGACGACGATAACGACTTTCAGTGGTCAGCAGACAGACAAAAGTGCGTCTCAAACCGCAGTCGCTTCCGGCTCAAAAAAAAACCCGGTGGTGACCTGTCTC